TTTAAAAGTGCAGCCTTGAAAAATAGTAAAAATGACTGCAAATTTACAGTTCTAACCCAACTTTTTATATATAGATATATAGAGATATATATCTATATATAAAATGATAAAATATAATAATAAAATTCAATACAAAACATTAGGACTAACATAAGGGTAAATACACTTAATTTAAGAAATGTTTTCCAGTGTTTGAGCAGTCAGAGTGTATGTAACTTATATAATGATCCAACTGAATCATAAAACTTTCTATTCTTTTTAATTCATAGTTTGATCCAAATGTATAGATTAAAACGGCTCACATCTGTTGATATTTTTGAAAGGTTGCTGTTATATTGCATCTACTTTGTTTTTAGACCTTTAAGAAAATCTTTTTAGGATCTCGTCCTATTGATGACGTCAGCATGAAGGCGGTCGCTTCTGTTTGTTGCTTTGGATCAGGAATTTTCCCCTTCAGACCGGTTCAGTTTTTACCTAAAGGACTGATGGGAGCTGCTGCTAATAGCTCTAGCCTGACAGTAGGGGTCTCCTCGCTCCTAATTAAGATAATTGGAGTAATTTACTGCAGTCACAGAATCTAATAATGGAAAGTTAATCAAACTGAAAATGTTTCTGAACGTCATCAGCTGTGCTGCATCAAGGAGTCCAGGAACTCTAACTGTGTTTCAGGAGAGAGAGGCCCACAGCACCATAGATCCTCTACCCTGCTTTACAGATTCATCCAGTTTGTTGCTAAAAGGTCATCCAGCCGTCTTTATCTGACCCAAAAAAATAAATTATGTTTATTTAGCTTGTTTTAATACATAATTTCTAATTTTAACATCCTTATTTCTAAATTTAAAAATCTTAAATGTTGAGTTGCTTTTTTTAGTGGGATTTAGTTATTTTTTGCTTGATTTCAGACACCGTTTTTATGCAGTGTTTGTGATAAAAGGTCAGGTAGAGGCGTTTCCCAGTTATGACTAAAAGCTGGTTGGCTTATTAACGCTGGAAAAACGATCTAGAAATTAAAAAATGTCTTTAATTAAGTGTATTTACCCTTAATTTGAGTAGGTAAATGAGAGAGTTTGCCAATGGAATGAGTATTTTTACTCTTAAAATAAGATAATTAGATAATATGCACTTGAAATAAGACAATGCAATTGTGTTTTCTTATTTTAAGTGTATTTTTTCTTGTTCCACTGGCAAAATGTCTCTTTTACTTCCTCAATCCAAGAACAAATGCACTTATTTTAAAAATGTAAAAAAATGACTTATCTACATTCCATTTTTTTCCAGTGAATAAAAAGTAATGGTTCCAGTGGAGATTTAGGGATCCTGAGATGAGGCTCTTTGCAAATACGATTAAAATTAGTTCTTGTTTCTAGATAATTTTTTCCAGTGTAAAGATGTGGATTCATAACCAGAAATCCTCGATAACTTTCAACGTAAAAAAAAGATTAGAAAACTGCTTCAATTAGATGAATGTTGAGGGATTGCTGGAGATATGCTGCAAAAACTGATGTAAAATAAGTGTTGCTTCCCTTCCTTTGAGCAGGTTATATATATGCTCTGCTAATGAAACAAGTGTTTTTGTCTTTAAAAGAAGATAATTAGATATTAAGCACTTCAATTAGATAATGGAGCTGTTGTTTTTTTTATATAAATAAATCATTGTGTTCTATTTGCAGATTATTAAGGAAAATAGACTTATTTTAAGAAAAATTGACTCATTCAGTTTTTGCAGTGCACACTGGAAAAAAATTTAGAAATATAAATAAGTTAAAATTTACTAAATTAAGTCTATTCACCTTAATTTGAGCAGGTAAATGAGATGGTTTGCCAATAAATGAGTATTTTTACTTTTAAAATAAGATAATTAGATAATATGCACTTGAATTAAGACAATGCAATTGTTTTTTCTTATTTAAAATGTAAATTGTCTCGTTCCATTGGCAAAATGTCTCTTTTACCTCTTCAATCCAAGAACTAAAAGAAAAAAATTACTTATCTAGATTTCAATTTTATCCTTTGCAGCTTTTCTGATACAAGTGAAAAACTAATATCGGATTTCATTTTTCTGCAACAAATCTATTCACTGGAAAAACGATCTAAAAATGAGCAAAAATGTCTTAAATTAATGGATTTACTCTTAATCTGAGCAGGTAAATGAGATGATTTGCCAATGGAATTAGTATTTTTACTCTTAAAATTAGATATTTTAATAAAATGCACTTGAAATAAGACAAT